TTTTTTTTTTTTTCTGCTGTTAAACCTTAAAAAAGCAGAAGAAAAAAGAAAGAAAGAAATGAACACTTTTGAAGTATTCATAAATGAAAATTATGCAATAAAAATTTTAAAACTGTTAACAATAAACTGCAAACAAATGATAACTGTTCGGCTCCCTAATATCATTAGTCATTTTTTTCCTTTTTTTTTTTTTTTTTCTGCACTCTCTTTTTTCTTTTTTTTGTTAGTCCCATTTTCCAATTTTTTTTATCGCTTTTCATTGACAAAGATAATAAACAAAAAAACAAACTAAACTAAACAAACAAAAAAAAAAAACCAATGCATTTTTTAGACTTTTAAAAAGAAGAAAATAGCAAGGAGGAAAAAAAAAACAGCGGAAAACTGCTGTTTAACCTAAAAAAAGAATTGAAGATAAAAAAAACTGTTCTTTCTTTTTTTTCCCATTTATACACTGCTTTTCTTCCTCTTCACTTTACCCTTTTTCTTCCAATTCTTTTCTTTTTTTTTTTCTTCTACTTTTTTTTTCTTTCTTTTCAAACAGTAAGCACCATCTAACTGAGCATTGCTTTACTATATCAAACAAAAATCATCGACTACAACATTTGAATAAGCGTCAAAAATAATGATGAAAAAAGATCGAACTAAAAAAAAGAGGTACTGAAGAAATTTCAGATTGAAACTCAAATTTTTTTCTTTTGCTCCCCTATCCTTTCCTCTTCATTCCTTCTCAGTATGCCATCAATGTAAAACGCAGTTTTATCCCCAACCAATATCCTGTATTTCAGCAATTTATTGACAATCCAAAATTATGTTTCCTGACTTTCCTTTTAAGTTTTTTACCCAAATCTGAAATCAAAATCATATTATTAGCAAGCAGCTCCAAAGTTTGAACTAAAGTAGCAACAAAGATAGCAAACAGTAGGACAGCAGCAGCAGTTTAAATATCCTAATATAATAAGCCGAGAGGGCTGACGTTGCTAATGCTACTGAATTGCCCGCAGTAGCAACGGTATCGATGAAAACTTTGTTTCGTTCTTTTTTTTTTTTTGTTTTTTTTTTTCTTATCAAACTGAATAAAGTGTATGCAGCAGAAAGGTTAAACGAAAAAAAAAAAAAATTTCAAAGAAAATCCCATTTGTGTAATGAAAAACATAGAAAAAAGTAGTTCTTTTTTTTTTTTCTCATTTCTTTCCTCTTCTATGATATATATCAACAAGCAAATATGCACACATTTGTTCCAGCTCATTTTTCGTTCATTTTTTTTTTCGTTTCACTTTTTTTTTCCCCCCCCCCTCTCCCTTCCGCCACCTTTCATCTGTGTTATACCGCAATTTTGGTTGATGGCATAAAAT